AACTCCCTGGGTATTTTCGCTTCTCGGGCAGCTTGTTCTGCAGGATAGCAGAACACTCCTCGCTCAGCATCACTGTCGAAAGATCCCCAAGTTTCTTCTTGTTGGTGAGGAGGTCCTTCATGAACTTGGCATACTTGGGCATCTTTGACAGTGCCTCCACGAACGGCATGCTGATGTTGACCTACTTCAACATTGCCATGAACTTGGCAAACTCCGTCTCCAGCTTGTCTTTATGTAGGTGAGTGGGGAAAGGAAGCTGAGGTACATGCTCCTTAACCACTGGCTGTGGCTTGGGAGCAGGTGTTTCTGTGTCTTCCCCCACTTCTGCAGTATCAGTTGGAAGTGTTGAAGCAGGTAGTGGCTCATCTCGACTGGGCTGAGCAGGAGCAGCTGATGTGGTCTTGCCACTCCTGGTAGTGATGGCATCAAACTGCTGGTGCTGGTGAGGATCACAAGGGTTCAGAACAGTGGTGGCAGGCAGAGTCCCCGGTGCCCTAGTAGTGTTTTGGCGGGCCAAGATACCCACCTGGTTCTGCAGATCTTGCAAGATGGCACCTTGGTTCCTCTGACCTGCCTCTAGTGAGGCTACGCTCTGGTCCAACCTCGTGATAGTTGCATGAGTGCTAGTCATGAATGAAGCTAGAATATTTTCCAGCTTCGTCATCTGAGTATCTGGAGCCGGAGCTGCTGATGGCTCGGCATACTGACGCTGGGGCTGCTGGAATGGTTGCCCCTGCCTAGGCTGGTAGGGCTGCTGTTGTGGGGCTGGCCCCTGTCGAGCCTGGAAGGGCTGCCTCTGCTGAAAGCCACCAGCTGGTGCTGGGAAACCAGGTGGCTTAGTGGTGTTGCTGCCCCAAGAGAAGTTGGGATGCTGGCGCCACCCCTCATTATATGTATTGCTGTACGGGTCGAGGCGCCGAGCATTGGCGATGAAGTCCAACTGCTCTTGGGGAGTAGTAGACTCCCTCATAGCCTGGCAGTCTTCCACTAAGTGATTTGAGCTCTCACACCACTGACATTGAGCTACAGGAGGTGTAGCCAAACCTCTGCCCCGAATCAGACTGTTGGGCTGCTTCAATGTCTACACTAACTCAGCTACCTGCTGCTCAAGCTTGGATCTGGTCTCCATGGCGTGCACACCACGATCCCGAGAATGTCTGCCTCTGCTGCTCTGTCCCCAAGAATGATCTCTGGCAACCAAGGTATTGATCATCTGGTTCAGCTCTGGTGGAGTCTTAGTAAGAATATCCCCTCCTGGGCATAAAGACTCAATCACCCTCTGGCTGTCTGGAGAGAGAGCACTGTAGAAGTTCCCCACTGTGAATGCATCACTGAAGCCATGATGGGGACACTGCCAGAAATATCCATGTAGCGCTCCCATGCATCACGAAGTGACTCATCTGGCTCTTGGCGGAAGTGAGTGATCTCCCGCTGGATCTCTGTAGTCTTCGATGCCGGATAGTACCTGTGCACGAACTTGTCAGCCAGATCGTCCCAAGAGGTGATGGACAATGGGGGCTGAGTCTCCAACCACCTCTTAGCATTCCCCGCCAGAGAATGGGGGAAAAGGAGAAGGCGGATTGCATCATCAGGGACACCATTCAGCTTGAACCCGTTCGTCAGCTGCAGAAAACGGGAAAGATGCACCCTGGCCTCCTCATCCTTCAAGCCATGGAACTGGATAGAAGATGTAATGAGCTGAATCCAGCATTGCTTGATCTCGAAGTTATTTGCTCGAATAGGCGGGTAGAGGAGCTACGCCCGTAATTTCACAATTACCGCCAGTATTTCATTAATTACGGTCGTAATTTGGTGGATGCTTGCCCGTAAGTTTAGTGCCGAGAAGAATTCTTGGCAAAAGTGGCTCGGCATTGGTTTTACGGGCATGCCCTGACCAATTACGATCGTAATTTGGCAGGGGCTGCCCGCAATTTGTCCTGTGAATCACCATCTGACCTCCAAATGACCCGAAACTTGCGCCTATGCACCTCTTTACTTGCTAGGACCTGAAGTACGACAAAACAACACAACCTAGCGTAAAATAGGCCAAGGAACAATCAATTCAAGCTAAAATGGACAGGAAACCAGAGTGAAAACACGTGAAAATATGATGCTATCAAATTCCCCCACACTTAACCGTTTGCTTGTCCCCAAGCAAACCAAGTCAGACACAAGGTAAGCTTACATATTTCAATCAACCATCATTGGGGACAAGTCATAAAGGCACAGAACACGTGAATCATACTGGTTTTCAAACATCAACACATGAGCAACTTCAATAGCAACCTGGACAACCACCACAAAGGACATTCGAGTGCAGCAAAATCGAGTAAAGGAAGAGTCTCCCTTCTGTTAACCAACCAACCTAGACTTGACTCAACCACTTACTCAAAACAGTCAACTCATGCATCCAACTCTAGACATCAGAATAGAGACCGAGCAATCTAGGTCCTCACCGGGGTACAAGAGTATATAGAATATGAAAAATGAATCACTCACTCTCGACCAGTGGGGTCAGGACAATTTGATGCGAAAAATGCGCATGTTATTTCTCTCAATCCCTAACATCTCTTCACCATGATGGCAGCCTCTAAATGCTAGAGTTCACATATGGGGTGTCACCACTAACTAATCAGGAGGTCTTAGACACAGGTTCAAATGACTGGCTAGGGTCTTGGACATGGGGAAAATGCCTTTTAGGTGGTGGAAGTAGTCATAGCACAAGGTTCCACATTTCCAAACCCACACAATCACAGTCAAACAAACCGGTATTTCCTTTCTGCTATTCTGCATTACTCAATATCTCAAGAGCACAAGAGCGAAGGAGGTATAAATGTCAGCGTTTCCAAGCCAGACTGCTAAGAAACACTACTTACTGGCAATTATTCATATTTGTGGTAGTGGCTCTCTTTGCTTTCAATTGTTCTTTGTTTTTCTTTCATTTTCTTTTCATTTCTTAAGAGAGCCACCACTTCTGCACATATTTCAAACACATGCCCAGCCCAACTTTTAAGCACTACCTCCAACACTCACAGCAAATTATTTAGCAGAAACAGCAGAGAATATGTAAAAACCACTCTGTGGAACCTTCTAAAAGATGCAAAAGGGTGAATTTTTTTTTCATTTCAGACCAAAAGAAAGGATAACACACGGCTCAAAAGGGCTGACTAGGGGATATGACACATCAGGATAGTCAAATTTGGTCGTGGGGTAATCCTATGCCCCCATCATCTTAGCTAGTGACAACGTGAATGCTACACATCATGGAAGAGGGATCTATCGCACAAGAAAGAAACGAGCAGGCTCAAATCTCACATGGCTACCTATATGCTCTATCTCACATTCTGATACCCTGAACTAGATGCATAAACGACTGTCACTCTAGAAATTGGCCAAGTGTAACCACTTCCTAAAGCGTAGTATAGCGGGTTTGGGTTTTAATGTCAACCCGGGTCCTAGATTTGATGACTACTCGGTGAATTCTCGTTATCTAGCAATGACACTTTAGTGCAGGTCTAAACTAACAAACAAGCAAAGCAAGTAAACAGTTGTTTTCAGGTTAAGAGAGGTCACCCGGATATGGTTCCCCCTAGACTGCAGTTAAGCCGGATTGCAATTACCAAGTTCAGTTTCTATGATAGTTATACTGCGGAAGGCTCTTAAACAGCCTGAAGTCTCGACTAAAGGTCTTCAGACCCTCTCAATCTGAGTCTCTAGTGGGCGACTAACCTCCACCGGAGTAAACAGATTGAGGCCCTAACAACAAAACCTCCACTACCGAAGTGAATTCGGTATAGAATAGTGAGTTGGCTCCTCGACTAAAGTCACCAACTCCCTACCTTCAATCAAGGATGCTCTATCAACCTAGGCAGATATTCTCATTCTAGGTTAAAGCAGAAACAACAGGAATTTGATCAGGATTCATGCCATTCAATCATTCAAACCTCAATTGAATATAATCAAATCATAGAATCAATACTTGGGTTCATACAATCAAACCTAACATACAAATCTAGGGTTCTCCATACCCAGATGAATGGGAGAACTACTCCATGGAGAAAGAAGCAAAAGCAGAAACAGACGAGGAATTCATACTATGAAGGATGGATTCCTGCTCCTGGACGTTGATTGGCACTCCTCCAAGCTCAAGCCAAGCTACAATGGCGATGAAGATCAAGCTAGGGCACTTGGAGAATCTTGTTCGTCGCTTTCTCTCTCTAGGAATCGCTCTGTCTCTCTAAAAACTCGAATCCCCTTCTGTTTTGGCTGAAATCTGCCTAAAAGGGCATCATTGGGCAAAACACGGTCGAGGGCACGGCCGTGCTTTGCTCCAGCCCGCCCGTGCTTTTCCAAGGGTTAATTACACGGCCAGACTGTTGGGGAAAACACGGGCGTGATTTTGGTGGACACGGCCGTGTTTTTCCTCAACCCTGCCCGTGTTTTGAGCTCGTGTTTTTCAACCCCATATCAAGTCTCGGCAGTAAAAGCACGGCCTAGGAACACGGCCGTGTTCTGCTTTAGGTGTGCCCGTGTTTTTGCTCCAGCTTCAGCGAATGACTTCTGAATGCCCCGAAACTCGTGCTTAGCCTTTCCTTTGACGCCTGAGACCTGAAATATGACAAAATAGCACAACCCGGCGTAAAATAGGCCAAAAATACACGACTATGCCCCTCAAACGGATAATAACTAGGGGCGCAAATACATGCAATTACATCGTTATCACACGTCAAACCAATATTCGTCCAATCTTCAAAGTGTAAGTTTTCTATTAAATTATGTACCAACAAATATTCGATGACTTAAAAGTAATATTCATGAAAATTTAAAAGTAATATGACCATTACGGCTAATTAATATTCGGTAAGTGATATTCATGTTTCTGTTCCTCCACCAACTGATATTCAGGACAGAACGACTAAGTATTCATGCAAGCACAGAACACCATGCAAGCAAACATTAATGTAAACCCTAAAAAATAATAAATGTAAACCCTAACATATTCAATGCTGATCAACAACGAAAACATATATAAGTCTAAATGGATCCTTTTTTTTGTCTTTACATACCCCTTCTATTTCATCAACTGCAGACATCCACTCTTCCGAGCCCCACAAACCATCATATGAACCATCCGCTTTGAGGATGGTATCAGCAAGGTCCACCTCTTCTGGTTCATCTCCTTCGACATTACCTTTATCAATTTCAGTCGACATATCTTCAAGGTGGACCTCCTCTTTGGGTGCGGCATCTCCTTTGACATCATCCCCCATCTTCGACAGACTATCTTCCTCTGGAGTCTTTTTCTTCTCTTCGAATGACCAATCTTGCATCAGAGTCCCAGATCGTTACCCTAAACTCTCTTCCTGTGTTTTTCTGGTGTTCTGGATTCTGGTCTTCAATGGCGGACGGAGAGAAAATATGAGGAATAAGAGAGGTGTGAGATTGAGAGAGAGAAGTTGGTAGCTGGAGTATTAATGAAGGGTTTTTTTGGGCTGGATTTTGCGCCAAATATCTCGCCAAAACATCAAAAAACTTGCCCAGACCCCTCCCATCTCTCACTCCTCGGCCCCACCAGATCCTTCATCTCGGCTTCCCCACAGCTCAAGCGCGGTTTGTCTCCTTCCCTAAGCTCGTCTCGTAGCCAACCAATCATGGCCCTCCGTTGCTGGCTTGGGCGACGTGGCATCCCCCCTGCGCTGTGATTTGGTGCACACAAATCTGGTTGTGTGTACCATAGCGAAATTTCCTAACCCCTGTTTTTGTATTTAGTTCGTGTTTTACAGTACCATCCATAGTAATGGGCATTTTTTGCCATTAGGGTAACAGTTTGTAGGAAGAGGGTTGTTATTTGTCGCCCGGTACTTTACTATTTGCCGCCCGTATTTTAAGTTAAAATGACATTTTTGCCCCTGTTATTTGTTTACCTTCTATTACAACGAAGGATTCTTTCACACCAATCCACTCTTTACATCACCCTCATACAACCACCGTCGCCGGAGTCAATCGCCGAAGGACCGCCACTGTCATCAACGCAACAAACCACACTCGTCAGTGAATGAGAAAAGGTATGTTTTTATCCGGCGGCTTTCAGACAAAGACACCGTCTGCTCACCTGCAACGGACCCCGTCCGCTCGCTTGTGTAGGACCCCATTCGACCTCCGGCGGCAGACCCCGTCCGACCTCCAATCGGTGGACCGAGCTTCTACGACCGTTTGATTGCAAGCATCGGACCACTCATCTCTGTCGGTGAGGTGAGGGAGGGGAGGGGAACATCGACTATGGTTTTGAGAGGGAGGGTGATAGAAACCTGTATTTTGGGCTCTATCTAATAATGGAATAAGGGTAGGGATTTGGGTGAAAAGCCAACAATGAAGGCTTGTCCTTTGCTGTACGTGAGGGGGAAGAAGAGTTGAAGTGGAGAATTGGAAAGGGAGAAGGGAAAAGCTGCGCAGCAGCTATAGAGAGAGTGAGAAGTGGTCGGCCAAGAGAGAGATTAGGAGCTAATTAGGTTTAATCTTTGCTTAACTTCCATTCCTACGTAACAACATAGCATTCCCTAATTACCTATAGCTACCCCAATTTATTATATCCCCAATTAAATCCCCAAATGCCTCATAGAACTCTTAAACAATCATAAACTAGCAAATAAGTCCAAATGCTAAAAAGAATAGAAACGCATGTTTCTATCATCCCTGTCTCCTTCGAAACAACCTTGTCCCCAAGGTTGTCAGTCCTCCACCTGATCTTCGTTCTTGCCTTCCGCCGCGTCATCCTCAGCCTCATTCTCCCACCTCTCCACTAGCATAATCAAGTTCGGCTTCGCGCACTTGTGTCCAATGGTGAATTGTTCATCACAGTTGAAGCACTTGTCTTCCCTTCTCTTCTGCTCGATCTCTGCTGAGCTCAACCTGATGAATCCCTTGGGCGGGGCCCTTGGCCCAGGATGTGCTGTCGTAACCGCTGCACCCGGCGTCGTACTAACCATGCTGCTAGCATTAACAACTGCACCGCCACTTCCGCTACTCCCTACGCCGGCGTGGCCACCTCCTCCGGACTTGGGATAGCGTCCTATGACGCTCCTCCAGCTTGCCAACTCCTCCTGCTTATGTCCTGCAAGACGGAAAACAGCTCGCAAGATATCTGGTTCAAAAATCTTGACTGACGCGGCAATTTCCAGGTTTTAGACCCGCCATGCACATTCCTACCCGGGTCTCTTCCGGAACTCCCTTACACTGGTTTCCCAGTTTAAGGAACTCTTCCTGGTACTTAGTTACTAATCCGGTCTGCCTGAGCTTGGCAGCTACTCTGGAGCCCAGCCCTCTGACTTGCCGAATTGGTAACGAATCTCCTCCTAGAATATCGACCATGTGATCAATGTCTGCGCTACAGCATAGGATCTCTCTAACCACTCCCACCAGTGCAGTGTGTCACCCTCCAGATAGAAGGACGCCAGTTGTTCCTTCCTTTCCTCATGGGTCGGGTGATTCTTGAACCACCTGTCAGCTGTATATAACCATAAACCGACATCCTCATGACCATTGAATTTTGGAAACTTAATGGTCGGGGGTTTGGCTCGAAACACTAAGGCATACTCATCATCATATCGATCATACCCACCATACCTGCCCGCACTGGGGTATCCTCCGTGATATCCCGGTGGACCGTGTGCGTCACCTCCTGGGCCCCAGCCATGCCCGTCGTCTCCCGAGTAGTGTCCGTACCTTCCGGGTTGACCCCCGGGGTCTCCTGATGCCGCGAAAGGGGGGCTGTGTGCACTCGAGCCTTCCAGCTGGGCTCGCCATCCGATGGTTGGTCTGTCGTCCGGAGTCAACCCAAATTGGGTCGGTTCGCTTGTGGTTCGACCATTATCGGTCTGCCCAACTCAGGTTCGTTCCGACCCTCGTCGGCCCACCCCGCTCCGGACCGCCGTCGGCCCACCCAGCTCCTGTCCGACCGCCTTTAGGCCACCCAGTTCTGGTTTGACCATTCCAGACTGGTCGGATAACCAAAGCCTGATCCGCTCCGCTGGTCCGATCGAGCCCGTCCGTCTTGTAACCCCGCTCAGGCCCGCCCCCGGCCCGCTGCACTCGGCCCATCTCGTCCTCTATTAGGCTTGGGCCCAATGGTATGAAACATGGATTATGGACCACGTTGTCGTAGCCCGGCATCTTCACTTTGCCACGTATGGCCGCGATCTCCTCTGTCGTCGGGGTCGGTACCAGCCCGAGTCCTCCATGAGGCCCACCAGCATCTAGGCCCACTCGTTCAGCTGTCCCTTGCCCTAGGGTGACCGCCATCGCCTCCCCTCCGGCCCCCGCACTGCCTCGTTAGCCGCCGGGACGTCCGTCGGGTCCCCACCTCCTGCGGCCACCGCCGCCTGGTCCGCCTCGGTCGCCGCTATCGAGCCCCAACGCAGCCGCCATCCTCCTCTGCTCCTCCTGCATGTTGGTGAGGAGCTGCATGATCATGTCGCGTTCGCACCTGGCCTCCTCAACCTCCGCCCGCACCTCCTCCATGTTGGAGTCGGTCCTCAACTGCATCGCCATGATGGTGCGCATCGAAACCTACAGATCTTCATTCTCAGTTTCGTCCACCACGACGCCTTCACGCCGGTTGTCTGCTTGTGGCGAGGGAACCTTGGTCTGAGCCGTCGCCGTCGCCCTGGATCCGGCATCGGATTTCTCTGCGGTGGAGATAGATAGGTTTGGGAGGGAGCAGAGGGTTGGGGAGGGAAGGGATTGAGTTGAGGATAAATAGGTTTAGGATTTAAATTTAAAAAGGGGCAAATTCGTCATATTTTTATAACTACAAGCGGTAAATAGTAAAAGCACGGGCAGTAAATAGTGTAGGAAAACATCCGCCAGCAGCTGCGCTTCGTCCGCTGACGATTTTATAAACCCAAGTTCCTGTGCAGCACAGCAGACATTTTTTAAAAACTTCGATGCTTTTGCGAAAGTTTGATGCTTTTAGATCCGCCAGAGGTTTGAAGAACGAATTGGAATCCTGGAGAATTGGATTTTGCCCTTGAATTAGAATTTCAGCTCCGATGCGATCCAAACTCCCAGACGCGGCTTCGAGTCGGAAAATGGCTGCTTCGTCAGCGGTAGTGGCGATTCTGGCCTCAATTTGGCTCTGCAGTTCGATTGCGGCCGACGCATCTGGTTCTTCAAGTGAAACTACAATGCATACCAATAACTGGGCTGTCTTGGTCTGCACCTCTCGTTTCTGGTAATTTCTTCTCCGCAACTTCTTCTGCTGCTTCCGCCCTCATTTCTTCCCATTCATTTAATCAAGTTCCTGAACTTCCCAACCTCTTCTTTACCCTCTTCAATCTCAGTTTTAATCACAAATTCAACCTAGTATTGCATTTCGTTACTTCCCTTTTTGCTGCCAATCTCGGCCGAAGCTTCTCTCTGCTCCATTTTTGCCACTGCTTTTGTACTAGTTCAAGGATGGAATTGATTGAATTGGTATTTCCCCTTTTCCAGGTTTAACTACAGGCATATGGCTAATACTTTGTCCTTGTATAGGTAAGCTTGGTTATTCCTTCTATCGGAGCAATTGCTTGTATAGCTAAACTCATTTTTATCTATTTGCATTTCAATGGCTACTCAGGACAGTTAAGCGGCTTGGGATTCCAGATGAGAGGATAATACTGATGTTGGCAGATGACATGGCTTGCAATTCCAGGAACAAGTACCCTGCCCAAGTCTTCAACAATGAGAATCACTGGCTCAATTTGTATGGTGATAATGTTGAGGTTGGTGGGTTTTCAGTTGATTATGTGATAATACCTTTTACTTCCAGGGGTTCTGGATATTAAAGATTTTGATTTTTTGCATGGGAGTTGTTAATTTACTGCAACTGCAACTGCCATTAACCATTAAATGTTACAGATTGTTAAGCCCTACTAAGGCTAAAGCTGTTGATCCAATATGATATCTCAGATTTGGAGCATGTACTTGAGAAATGCTCAAAAGATTTTGAAAATGTTGATCCTATTATAATGAACACTGGATCTTACCAAGTTCCAATTTTTCTCAGGTGGATTATAGAGGTTATGAAGTGACAGTGGAGAATTTTTTGCGGGTTCTCACTGGGCGGCATGAGTCTGCTGTTCCCAGGTCAAAGCGTCTCCTTAGTGATGAAGGGAGTCACATTCTTCTGTATATGACTGGTCATGGAGGAGATGAATTCTTAAAATTCCAGGACTCAGAAGAGCTACAAAGTCATGATCTAGCTGATGCCGTGAAGCAGATGAAGGAGAAGCATAGGTAATAAAAACATTGCTGACTGATTAGATGATTCAGTGCCATGTGATATTTCCAGTTTGCTTGGCCTCTATCATTAAATATGACTACAGATAATTGCTATTGTTGATAGGTTTCACTCTGTTCAAGTTTGACAGCATGGTTTGTTGTCAGTTTGAGACTACGTAGTTATTATTTGCATAATTCATTGATGTAGATTCAAGGAATTGCTGATAATGGTAGACACCTGCCAAGCTGCCACTCTTTTCAATCAGGTATTATTTATATGAATAAGGGAGATTTTGTTGCATCAAAAGAATCCAAGACACCAATGTGATCTATACCCATTACACAGAACATATACATCCATGCATGAGATCCCCACAGCCCAAACCCATTACCCAATGTTCTTTTCTTACAGCAGAAACAAACAACACAAATATAAACCCTATACAAATACCACCAACAAGCCGCCATCCACAGAGAGGGGGAACCATTCTGCAGCAACAGGGGGGAAAACCAGAACCAGGAGATTCATAACAGCTAAGAGACCCTTTATCTCTGATACCAGAGCGGCTTTATCACGACAGCAGCAGCGATGTGAGGGGAACCTGCAATCTTTAACTCCAAAATCTGTCTAAGCCAATCAACAAAGTCTTCGAAAGTAGGACTCTTCCCTCCATATACCCTTTACACCTTTCTCCCCGGGTTTCACTCACCAGTAGAACCCAGACAAGTCAACCAAGTGAACACGATTGTAGCAGTCCTACAGAGGCCTCCAGTCCTTCCTGCCAACCCTCCCCTGTTACATAGTCCCAATGTGAGGGAAATACCTTCTGGACAGTAGTTATAGAAAAAGAGCACTGGAAATACAAATGTTTCTGTTGCGTGGAATGTTTCATTGCTAGTTTCTTCAACATATCCAGAATGTCAGTCTATTTTTTTGTTTTGCCTTTCCATTTTTTATGGCCACTCCTGTCAGACTTTGAAAGAGTAGAATATGATTACTTTGGTGAAAGGAGCTACGGAGCTGTATTCCTTACCACAAACTGCTATTTGGACTAGATAATGCTCATAATTAGGACAGAACTACATCTCAATGTTTGCGCTGAGAGTGGATATAGTTGTGACATCATGAAGAAACTAGTATTTTATGTGTTGGCCTGTTGGGCATCACTTATATATGTTATTTAAGATGATGAATGCAAAAGGAAGTGTCATTTGTTGCTTGCAGCTCCATTCACCTGGTGTTCTGGCCATTGCAAGCAGCATGAAAGGGGAGAATTCATATTCGCATCATTTGGACTCTGATGTACGTATGTTCAGTGTGTATGTGTTTCTTCATTAGTTTTCGATTTATGTTATCAAGAACACAAGGTTAAGTTGTTATATGGATCTGTGCTTAGGTTTACCACTGTGCAATCTTTCTCATCACACTTAGTATTACTACAATTATAGGTTGGTGTTTCTGTTGTTGACCGGTTCACGTTCTACACCCTTGCTTTCTTTGAGAGGCTGAATATGTACGACAATGCTTCATTGAGCAGGTATATGCTTTTAGTAGTCATTCACCCCCCAATCTAACCAAGACTTCGTGTGGCACTGCTTGCTTGTGCTCACAATCTCAAACTTGCGGATTCTTTCTTTGCAGGCTGTTTAACTCGTATGATCCAAACTTATTGATGTCAAATGCATATTACAGAACAGATCTTTACCAGCGAAATTTGCAGGAGGTATTGATATTTTGAATTTTGGTTGGGGCATGTTGGCATACATTGGGAAGCGGAGAAGTGGGTCTCGCACCTATTTTTTTTCATTTTCTCGAACACATTTCGTGTTCAAGTCCAATGAATCAACCAACCCTTGTGTTATTGTTAAATATTGATGCAGTATTGCTGCTAGACAGCAGATTTTTAAGTGGCAGGGTGAAACAGTCTTTTAACTGATTCGTGAAACGTTTCTTTCTGCCTATTGCAGGTTCCTGTGACGAACTTTTTCGGGTCTGTGATGGAAACAGTCCACACAGATTCGGCTTACAGGGCCTTTCCGCAAAAGAACACTCCCAGAGAAACTAGAATTCGCACAGGCAAGACGGCTGAAGATGATAGCAGAAGAAGCATCTTGACAGATATGACCAAGGCAGAATGCCCTTTCACTCGAATTGTGAGTTCATTGGAATCCAAAATGGAAACGGTTGGCAATTTGGATTCCCTAGTGAATTACGGATTGGTGATGATACTACCTGTCCTCGTGGTATCTGTGTGGTTGTCAACCTGATTATAAGAAAATATGTGTTTGGGTCAAGAGTTGAGGTCGATAGAAGCGCTGGAGGCCCTCAAAAGCATGTAGATTATGTCATTTTTATGCCTCAATTTATATTTGTCAGCTAATTGTAGAGAATGGGGAACTGGTGGGTAAAATATTAAAAGTGGTTCCAACTCTTAACACTCACATTCCTTACTCCTCGATAGTGTTGTTATTCGACGATAAGATTCAACTGGCTTTTACTGTTGGTCAAATGAGTTTTGTTTAATTTTTTATTTTATTTTATGTTAACCAATTTAGTCATATTTTAAAGGCAAAATACAGTTCCATAGCCAAAACTTTCACGTTTGTGCCAATAATAGCCACATTTGGCGAAATACCACTTATAGCCACCTTTTGAAAATGTTGTTGGACAAATATAGCCTTTTCCGTTAGAAACATTGACGGCGTTACTAACACCGTCAAATAAGCAGACGGTTTGCTGATTAGGCGAGAAGAACTCGAACACGTCAGCGCCAACTAAGCAAGTCTTGACACGTCATCTTGACACGTCATATATTCATTTATTAAAAATAAAAAATTATATATTACATTATTAAAAAAAAAAAATTCTGACCATATATTCCATTTCCATCGAAACGAGTCCTTCAGCCCCTATTTTTGCCCGATACAAAAATTAGGGTTCCTCTCCCAAACTTCAAATTTCGACTCTTCTCCCCGAATCCTCAACTTTCCACTCTCCCCGATTCCTATACTAATCGATTCCTATTTCGGAATTAGGGTTCTTCCCCCAAATTCCACTCTCCACGAATCCTCTACTCCCCAAATTCCTCTTCCCATTCTGGCGACGGAGCAGATCCGAAAAGATCCCGCAAATCCTTACTTCCTCCTCCACCGCAAATCCCCCCTGCAACAGTTTCCCAATGAAAAGAGAGGCTTTCTCTAGTCTCTCCCTCTCCTTCAATCAGAATATGAAAGCATAGCTAATAGAAGTGACCAACCCACCCCCCTCTCCTGTCGTTTTCTTCCTTCCTTCTTCTTTGTCTTCTTCTCTGGCCAACATCACCTTTTACAATTTCAATTAGGGATTAAAGTCCTAGACAATCAGCAACGCAGCAGGTGAGGGGGGATTCTGCGGAAGGACACTCATTTGGGAAGCCTCACCGGGCGAGCAAGGTAGAGCCTTGCCATGAATCAATACAATCATAACCGGGTTGCGTGGAATTGGAGTCGGGAACGTCGGTTTCAACTGACTTCCGGGTTCTTCAAAATTCCATCATAGATCTTACCGCAAGGAGGTGGAGAAGGCGGAGGTTGATTAGAGCAGAGCAGAAGGAGACGAAGAATCGATGGAATCGAGGTAAGCTACGGCGGCGGTGGCGGTGGTGGTGACGAGCTGCGGTGGGGCGGCGAATGTAGGTTGGCCGGCGGAAGGAGTGAGCGGTTGGTGGGTTGCTTGAGGAGAAGAAGCGGAGATTAGGGATAGGGAGCGTGAGATTTTTTTGTTGGTTTATTAGTATTTTTATATTTTATTTAACATTAATTAATATTGAAGAAATTCCACATAAGTATTATTAGTTGCCACATCATCATTTCTGTTAGTTCACTCAATCTGTTAGATGACACCGTCAAAGAAGTGGCTATAAGTGGTATTTCGCCAAATGTGGCTATTATTGGCACAAACGTGAAAGTTTTGGCTATGGAACTGTATTTTGCCTATTTTAAATGATTTGAGGACTTCTAAATAGTTTTTTCATTATTTGAAAGTCATATTTGTTGTGCTACTTGTTAATTGTGATTGTCGATGTCGGGATTATAGCTGGCGTCAGTTAGAATGTTTATGTCGGGCACCATGTTCAGTTGACGATTATCTTTCACCTCGAACTATTTTCGAGAATGGTCAATTTTGGCAAGGACACTCTCCTAGACTCAAATTAGTGAGTGATTCTAGAGAAGAGCAATGACCTCGAAAATCAACATAAGGAAATGGAGTTGAAAATGAATATTTTCGCTAATCATAGCAGGAGTTCGCGAGTCTAGGCATGAAGTTTTTTTTCTTATCTTCACAAGGAGTCAAGGTGGCCATTTATAACAATCATAAGGGAATCATAAATGGGGTATGTATCTTCATTTGGGAGCTTGGGGGTAAAGGAAAGACATGTCATGGGAGTACGTAGCCAATTATGTTGGGTGCTATGGGGTGATAGACATCAGAGTGACCGAGGCGACCGGGGGTGGTAGCCAATTATGTTGGGTGCTATGTGGTGATAGACATCAGAGTGACCGAGGCGACCTGGGGTGTTTGACCCCAGGGTGATCAGAGTAACACCAGGGTGGCCAAAGTAACTCAATGTGAGTTGAGATGATTGACTGAGGGGGTGGCCAGGATAACCCTAGGGCTGCTTAAGGTGACGCATAATGTTGACCTTGGGGTTGGTCGTGAGACCCCAATGGTGCACAAGGTGACCTGGGGTGATTGACCCTGAAGGTGGCGCGGGTGACTCGTGGTGACCCGAGGAGATTTTCCACACGGGTGGCTGGAGTGACCCAAGTTGACTTGGGATAATTAACCCAGGGGTGCTAGAGTGGCCAAGGTGACATAGAGGGATTGAGCCCGTGGATGGTCAGAGTAACCCGAAGTGATTGACCCTATGGGTGACTGGAGTGCCCCCAACGAGGATGAATGGTGACCAGGGTATGGACCCTTGGGTGGACTGGGATGCCGAAGGTGACCGGGGTGATTGAGCTCCGTGGTGACAGGATTGACACCTCAGGAAGGCAACAACCCTTGGGTTTATAGGAGAGGGTCATTGAGTAGGGTTTATTTGGGGACATTTTTGTAAAATTAACAAATTTTAATATATGGGGGTTCATCAATAACATTTCTGATAAGTAGTTCAAATGTATTTTTGTTGATAAGGTCATCCTAGTTTATTTTTGTCGGGTATATTTTTTCATATTTTGGAAGAATTTTTTTTCAATCTTTATTGTCGACATAAATAAGTTAAAATATATTTCTTAATAAGACTCTATATTATTAACCTTTTTAAACGACCGAGGGGGTGGCCAAATTCCATGTATGAAGAAGATCTTTGAATCTCAAGTCCCATTCCTTCTTTGGAAATGCCATTTTGTCCCACCTGAATCCATTACATGCCAAATTAAGTCATTACACATTTTCTGCACTTGTTTAAGCACTTTATTTGCGAGTAAAACAAATTCTCAAATCCTTACACATCCAAATCATTCTTCTTGAACTTTTTTTATTCACCAGCAAAGTAATGTTTGCATTTTGCTGGATTACATCTCAAACCGAATAGCTTATAGAATTCTTCAAATAGATTTTTTTATAGAAACACGTTTTCGTGATTCTATCATAATTATCATTATTATTATTATTATTATTAGGATTTATCTAGATATGGTAGTAGTCTTTGAGTCATATTAGGATAGTATATTAGGTTTTCCAGTCTTTCGCTATATATGTGTACTTTGGATCTTTTGTTCGATTAAGCAGAAACCAGTTAAAGGATTATCTTTCCCAAACCCTAAGCTCTCCCCATCCCTAATTTTAATTTCTCTTCTTGCCTAGTCCAAGGCTTCGGCCGATTCTATCTTCTATTCTTCTTCTTCCTCCTCTAATCCCAATCTCAATCCCTAATTCTATTCATATAAACCCTAAGCCCCAAATATCAAATCCGATAGAACCTTGGTTCTATCATTTGGTATCAGAGCCATGGTCACGAATCTGAATTCATCACAACTCGTAACCGGGGACATGATCTACCAAATGCAAGTTTGTTGTGAGCGGGCAATGAAAGTTTTGGAGAAAAGCATACAAGATGCTGAGAAGAGAGACGAGGAGTGGCGGCTGTTGGTGGAGAAATTGAAACGACCCCTAACCTCGCCTCGGTGAGCCAGGCCACCAACCACCACGGCTGCGAGGTCATTCCCTCCACCCGAGACGAAAATCCCCGTCGTAATTGTCCCCGCTGCCGCCGAAGAAGAAGATCCGGCCGCCAAGAACTTTGAAGATCAGAAGCAGCTTTCGGCGCCCTCAGCAATGCTGCCTGACTCGTTGACTTCGGTCTCCACCACCACGAAGTCGGGCTATGAAGTCGCGATGGAGACGGAGGACGATGTAGCTCTAGTGGCGGAGCTGCCGACCACCAATGCCGCAACGCAGTCAGCACCACGAACCACCGCTGCCATCACAAGCATCATCACCATGATTGAACCGCCAACCATCAACGACAAGGCTTTGCCCCAGCGGAGATGATGGCGCCATCATCAGCAGCCGTCATTAGCACTGAGTCACCACCTGGCGCGGCGGCCGAGGGCGCAGCTGCAGGGGAATGCCGCGCGGCCGAGGCGGAACGGGAGGCGGCGCGTCGCGCCGACGTGGAGGAGCGCGCTGCGGCGGCGCGGGCCGATCGCGCGGCGAAGGTCACGCCGCAGGACTGGGCGGCGCTGACCGAGTCGGAGAATGTAGCCGCGGGCGCCGACGCGGGGGAGCGCCCGACGGCGGAGTGCGGCGTCAATCGGCGGATCTCTTCGCCTGAGCTACAACACACGGGAAGGATTCAGCGACTGGTGGCGGGTTCCTCCGCATCATTGACTGGCAGGAAGAAGGAGCCAATGAGTCAGACGAAGGTTCGGAGATGGGTCGCGACAACGACGAATGATCGGGTTGCCTCGCCGGGAATGCAACATGTGGAGAGGACACAATGGACATCGGCGGCCGACTCAAATCCTGGCCGCCCGTTGAGAGGTTTGACGATGGGTAAAGAAATGAAGTCGGAGCGTCCGACGAAGAAGAAGAAGAAGAAGAAGAAGAAGAGGGTGGCTCCTCTCACGGCGAACGTCAAGAAGAAGAAGCCAGGACCGGGCGGGGCTCGTTGCCGCCGGGTGCTTTGTTCGTTGCTGGAGAAAAAGGCGAAGGATTGCTCACCGACGGAAGTCGAAAAGAAGAAGAACACGCCGCTCCTAGAAGACGAGACGAGGAAAGACGACGGGGGCGTCAGTTCTCGCTCCAACCCTCAATTGGCCACCTTGGGCCGTACTGAGCAGCAAAGGAAAGCTGGGTTGGGCCGAAAAATCTGGGTTGGGTGGCCAGAGACACAAAGTGAGACAGGCCGAATAAATCTGGAGCAAGGGCGGACAATTGTTGAGCTCGGGTCAGACCTGTTGGTTCACTCGATCGGGCCACGTCATGGGAATAATCAGATTGAGGCAAAGCTAAGTCTTGGGCCGAACAGCAAGGGAACCCACTGGGTTCAAAAGAAAACTGGGTTGAGCTGTCAGAGCGGGCCTGGGCCTCCAACAGGCTTTGTTTTAAAGTGGGTGAGCTTGGAGAAAAAGAAAGGTGGGTTCATAGGATGGTCAGATGGGCTTTCTAGGAAAACAAACCCAAAAGCATGTGGAGAGACAATGATACAATTCAATGAGCTAAATCCAAGGAAGATGTTGGAAGGCCCTAATGAATTGGTACTTAAGGATGGATTCTTGAACAATGCCGCATCTTGGAATTCCTTAAGTGGCTGGAGCGAGATGCCAACAATAGAGGAGCTGCTGAAGTTCGACTTGGTCAAGGAAGTGGTTGGTGTTCCCATAAAAGTGAAAATTGAAGAATTAAATCAGCACAAGGTTGGTGGAAAAAGTCCAATCACGGAGTTGGAGCACAATTAGAAAAAACGGAAGGGCAAGAAAGGGAGAAGTCAGCGCGCAAATGGTGCGAGAAGGAATGAAGAGTGGGTCAAGACGGTCAACCTTGAGGACAAGGTTGGTTTGGAGGGGGAGGAGATGATAGAAACACGTTTTCGTGATTCTATCATAATTATTATTATTATTATTAGGATTTATCTAGATATGGTAGTAGTCTTTGAGTCATATTAGGATAGTCTATTAGGTTTTCCAGTCTTTCGCCATATATATGTACTTTGGGTCTTTTGTTCGATTAAGTAGAAACCAGTTAAAGAATTATCTTCCCCAAACCCTAAGCTCTCCCCATCCCTAATTTCTCTTCTTGCCTAGTCCAAGGCTTCGGCCGATTCTATCTTCTATTCTTCTTCTTCCTCTAATCCCAATATCAATCCCTAATTCTATTCATATAAACCCTAAGCCCCAAATATCAAATCCGATAGAACCTTGGTTCTATCAGAGTGCCAGACCCCTCTGTAAATATAATTATATCACGTGCAAAGCTCGAGTGAGTAAGCCCCATTCTTTTGAATTGAGGATGATATGAGAATATGAGATTATTCGATTAAGGGCTTATTAATTCAACATTGAGGAGAGTGCTTCCATAACGTTTGTGAAGATGTAGGTAGACAAAAAGGGCCCCCTACCTTGCTCCAATTTTTTGCTGATATGAACACATTAACGGTAAAAATCAAATTTCGCAATACTAACGTAGATCTTAATCCATTCAATAAACTTCACAGGAAAACTCCTAATTTCCATATAGGAAAAATAAAGATTTCCAATTCAATAAATCGAATGCTTTCATGAGAGAAGATAGATTATGCCTATATAACAACAATTCAATAGTTCTTGTGCCATAAGAAGATTGTCTACAATTATTCTTTCTTTTACAAAGGTTTATTGGTCCATACTTATCACATTGGGCAATAGGGATGGCAAAAATATCCGTAACCGTGGATATCTGTCCGAATCCAACCTTGTCGGGTAGGGTAAAACTCGAACTCGAAGGACTTTTAGCGGGTATGGGTAAAATCAGAACCGAATATTGCGGGTAATGGGTGGGCATGGTTTTCTCACTATCCATTCCTAACCCGCCCGATATACACATGCATATGTATGTTATCTAGAAATAATCATTATTTTTCTCTAATATATTTTATATTTAGCATATAAATATAAAATTTTTCATGAAATTGTGTTGTTTTAATGAATTTTCTTCATTCTAGTGAATTATTGTTATACTTTTTGTCTTACGTAATGTGAGAATACATGTAAATATTAACATATTGGTTGAAGTTATAAAGAGAAACCATTACCCATGGAAAACCTTGGATACCCGAAACCCGAACGAGTGTGGACATGGTTTTGATTTTCTACACGTTTCTTATGTGGGTATGGGTATGGGTAAAACCCAAACTATTTTTGGTAGGATAACGGATATGCACTATCCGTCTCCAACCCGACCCGACCCAACTCATTGCCATCCCTACTGAGCTAACACTATTCCATGTCTGCAGGCTTGAATCTTGGATAGTATCTTGTAAAGTAAATTCACAATGATACTTAACTAAAATGTAAGTAGTAATTTTTTCAGTTATACTGGTTAGAGACTTAGAGTGGTGAGCAGTCTCTAACCCGTGCCCCGTCTCTCCCTTTTTCTAATCAAGCAACCGCTAAAAGATTTTGCTCATCCGCTGCTGCCAGTGGATCATGATGCGCTACAAAGAGGTAAAGTAAAAAACCGAATCTGCATTCTGATTCCTTAATGAATTTCACCCCGGGTTCTTCTCCCCCATCCTCCGATTCCTCGGCATTCCTGAATTGGGTCTGGAAATTGCAGGAGAAAGAGGCCAAGAAGGAAGCTTTCAGAAAGTACCTTGAATCCAGTGGCGTTGTTGATACCGTTACCAAAGGTTCTTTGATCTCTTCTCCCTTCAGTTTTCTGGTGGGGGTTTCCTTCCTTCGTTTCACATTCATCATCTTCTTTTCCCTCAATTGTTGTGGGTTGCCGGCCTGGCTGTAGCTCTGGTTGCATTGTACGAGCAAGATGAGAAGCCCTCCTCTGCTCTCGAGTGAGTTCCCTCTTCCACTTCTGCAGCAAGCTTCTTCTTAGAACCAACTTCCAACTGCATGATATATATATATTGCTTACAGATCTGCCGAATTATGTGAAATTGAATCATCAATGTGTACTCGCTAGCTTCAATTTTTGCATCTCTCCAGTGGGTTAAGCACCATTTTCACTGGGATCCAGTTAGGTTTTACCCTTGACAAATAATGCTAGACGAAATCTTCTCATATGTTCATGTTTTGCCCACTTCTCTGTGTGTTTTTGGACCTTTGTTGTTGTTCTCATATGCAATTTTATGCAATCGAGGAACTTGAGCATCCAGATGCCGCTAGTTTTCGTATACGAACATGGACATGGTAGGATAGACCTGTTTAATACTTGCTGCTTTGTGTCCTACAGATTCATTCAACAGAAGTTGGGAGGGCCAAGTTTGTGCGAATACGAGAAGCTACAAGCTGAGATGTCGGATCTGCAACTCAAGTACAATGAGCTTCTAGCAACTCATCAAGTAACTGTCAAAGAGGTATCCATTTTTATGTATGAGAAAATCATGCTGCACCATACTTTACTGTTTCAATGTACATCTAGGCAAGCAATCTGCATTTTGTATGAGCTAGTTTATATATGGACTTTGCTTGTTTGTCAAACCCAATCCAAGAACTAATTCGTGTGTTAGCATTACCAGATATAGTGCCATGGTGTTGTAATTTGGAAATTGTGTTGAGAGCCAATTATTCCCATTTGCTTCTGCTTAGAGGTGACTAAAGGGTTGGATTAGTGAGTTCTTAGGTTGGGTTTAAAGTTTGAACAGATTCATTGGCTTTGGGGTTGAGATTAAATGGGTTGGTTGCCTTGGTTGATTGCTAGCATTCTATTGAAAATTTGATGTAGCGTGGATGGTTTTCTGTCATCTGTCAAGTCTACGATACTAAAGGTTAACTTTGCAAAAACTAATTAACCCTACCTAATGGATTTGAGTCAAATGAGAACGAGTCAGATGGATTCTGGTTATGTGGGTTTAAAACAGGTTTCTACACTGTGCTTGACGTCGGGTCATTCGATCTGCGTTCTCATGGTCTGTCTGTCATCTAAATGCCTTACCCCAAGTATATGTCCTGGTTGCAGTTAGAAGAAGTGAAGGTCTCACATACCATGGCTGCCACCAATACTACTTCTGCTGCTAACACCACAGCCAGCGAAATCGCCAATGGGGATGTGCCAAAGGATGATGGCTGAAAGATTCAGGAAAGCCAAAAACGTAATCCAAGCTGTTTTGGCCCTGTATATTGAAACCATGGAAGGAACAAGCATTCTGTCGTTTAGGGGTGTTCAAACGGTGTGGTTACCATGGTAACCGTTTTAACCGGTACTATCTGGATAATTTGGTTTGGTTAATTTGGATAATTGGTTTGGTTTGGTTAAAGTTTTTAGTTTGTTTGGTTTAGGTGGTTTGGTTTGGTTTCATACACTCATAACCAGTCAAACCAAATTAACCAGATAAATGATTAGCCATATATCTATTATACATGGAACAGGAAACCGGATCGTATCGGCCGGTTCAATCGGTTCAATCAGGAACCGGACCAGAAACGAAATGATAGGTGTTTAGGGGTAGAAATATCATATCGCCCGGTTTTTTAGGTCAAACCGATCTGTCGCGAAATACCGGCCGGTTTTGAACCTGCCGGCGGTAGGCTGCTTGCAACAAAACGTCGCCTACTAGTTGGCCCTTGTCACCGCCTCCGCACCACGGCCACTACTCTATCTCAACCGCCGACCTGTGTCGCTGGCCACATCCGCCGCGCCTGGCCTTCGCGTTTCCCTGGCCATCCCGTCGTCCCTCCTCATCGTCATTTGGCCAACTGCTCGAGCGCGGAAGAAGAATGAAGAGGAAGGAAACCGTTGTTTGAAAGAAGAAAGAGATGAAAGAACGCTGCATATTATCTTGGTTCAATTTTTTTTTTTTTTTTCCCCAGAATGAGAGAGATGAGAGATGATATGCAAACGGCCAAGTGAAATGGAGGGGCGCCTAGGGTTTCTCTTCCTATCTAAGGGCTTTTTTGTATGAAGTCCATGTGCCTTACTAATAATCATGGTTGTCACGTCGGTGGCATGCCACCCGGTTGAACCCGGTTCAAGCTGTGCCGATCATGAAACCGGCATGACATCACCGGTATGACCGGTATGATCGACTTACGCATTCTAAGTAAAATAACATCATTTTAATGAGTTTAATGAATAAAAAAAATTAATTTATTATTCATTTTATGAATGTAATAGTTAAAAGTTGATGATATTTGTTGGATTATAACTAAATTGTCCACAAATATGTTTTATATATGATTAAATACATGGGATATTAATTGTTTTCACATTTTTTTAAACCGGCATGAACCAACACAAACTGGTTATACTACCGGTCGTACCATTCCATTTGCCAAACCGGCACAACGGTATAAACCGGTTTGACAACCTTGCTAATAATAGTATAATACACGTTGTGAAGGAGAAGGAAGGAGGAAGCACCTTTGGTTATGGGATTTTAATGGCCTTATTAATTATTATTAACTAGTTTATTTGTTATTATGTGATTATTTGTATTTATTTTTTGGTATTTCCGGTAAAGTCCGATATTATTCCGAAACGGTACCCTGATTTTGCCGGCACGATATTTTGACAAAAAAATTATTTTATTATTACAAAAATGGTATTTACCGGTATGAAACGATTGAACCACGGTCTTACCACAAAATACCCTACCAAAAAGAAATCCGATATGATGTCCGATACGGTTTCCTGAACCATGCTATTATATACACATACTTAATACTTTGAATAACGACTCAAGAGTTCAACGTTCATCCCTTTTAGACTCATAAATATAAAGCTTGATATTGTTCTTATAATGTATATTTGTATATGTAGAGTGTAGACCACAACATATGAACGCATAATTTAGATAAATCTCATATAATATGTTGGATGAAAACTTGAAAGCAAGGTCCTTTTCTGCCTATGAAAATTGCTAAAATACTAAGGGTTCGTTTGGAAGTTGCGATTGTTAAATAGAAGTATTGTTGAGAATGCATGTATAATATTATACATGTATTGTCGAATTTGATGCATTGTAGAATACAACGTTTGGTATGTGTGATTGTGTATGTCGCATCAGCTAAAAGCTGAGACAAAACAATCTCAACTCAACTATCTCAACAATCACTCAAAATGAGTGGTAGTTTCTGTCACATCATAGAAACAATTCATGTATTGTTTCTGCTAAAAAAACAAAAAAACGATGCATTGTAAACAATAAATGTATAATGACAATCTCAACAAAACAATCCCAACTTCCAAACGACCCCTAAGTCAATTCAAACAAACACAACAATTCATTAACCCATACCATTGTGATAATTTTTTGCTAGGTGAATACTTCTATATAACCGTAGGATAATTTTCTTAGTTGCATGTATTTGTGTTAAAGGGCAACTATAACCAAGTGTTGATTGTTATGTTTTATTCATTATATAAATTGTGAATTGATAAATTAACCAAAATTTTTATCACTTAATGATAATGTGATTTTATATTGGTTAATCTGGTTAACCAATTAACCAAATCGATTAAACTTTAATTTGGTTAATTTGGTTGTTTTATTAGTTTGGACGGTTTGGTTGTAATTTTGTATTCCATGATTAATAAAATTTAACCATATTTAATTTGGTAATAATCATGATAACCATTTGAACACCCTATTCTTGTTCGAATTACACTTAAATAGTGTAGGACCTCTACATTACTGAAAGGAATGGGCCGTTGTGGTTGCTTTACTATAACGGCCAATGAACATTGGATTTGTTCGTTGAATGGATGATTGAATTTGGTTCAGCCGTTGCTTTATCAACATCAGTATCTATCCCTTGGTACAGGAACCTTATGGTCTTTTTGGCTCTGTTCTGCATAAGCGACAGAGAATGATATTGTCTGTCCTCTTGGTCAGCATGACTAGTGAGAGCAGTTAAGTTTCTCTGGTCCCAAGGATCGGAATAATTTAGAGGTCGTTTGGAAGTTGTGATTGTTAAATGAATGTATTGTTGAGAATGCATGTATAATATTATACCTGTATTATCGAATTTGATGCATTGTAGAATACAACGTTTGGTATGTGTGATTGTGTATGTCGCATCAGCTAAAAGCTGAGACAAAACAATTTCAACTCAACTATCTCAACAATCACAACTAAAAGTTGAGATATAACAATCACTCAAAATGAGTGATAGTTTCTGTCACATCACAGAAACAATCCATGTATTGTTTCTGTTAAAAAAACAAAAAAATGATGCATTATAAACAATACATGCATAATGACAATCTCAACAAAACAATCGCAACTTCCAAACGACCCCTTTTATCCCGTTGTTTCGGTTTTTCGAGTGGAATTGTAAAAATGTGGTACAATTGTGCTAGTTATGCCGATTTTAATAAAATAGATAAGAAAAATTGAAATCATCAATACCAAATAATTTTTTTTCTTCCAAATATCAATACAAATAAATTGTTTATAAAGAAACAATTAAAAAAGTTAATTCACACAAAATAATTTATGTCCATTTGTTTTTTAATATATAAATTTTATAACAGTAAACCACGTCACTGGTGCAAATGTTACTTTTCTGGATGGTGCATGGAATCACATAGAAACGCTGTAAAAACAAGTTTTTGTACGATTTTACCGCTTTTACCGTTTTTACATACGATTTTAATGATTTTGTGAGTAAAACGATTTAAGGTGGAATCTGAATCGTTTTATTGACCTAGATACGTAAAAACGTAAGTTTTTACGATTTAAAGCGTGATTTTGACTGCACTACATTGAAGGATAAGTTGTTTTACGGGCTTCCAAGAAACAATCAGTGGTTACATTCTCTGCCACTGAAATGAGTATGTAGTTGGTTTAGGGGTGCTACTTAGTGTGTGTGGCTTGGAAGAGTTCTATAGAAGATGGGTTGGAATTCAAGTATTGTAGAATGAAAAAAAAAATTATTATGTAACAACATTTCTACAGTTAAGCTATCCAAAATCTAGTTCTGTATGGAATAAGTAAGCACATGTAATGACAAAGATGGAACTGTAGAACTTGTGCATTGCGAAACAACAGATCAAGCTGTATATATAATGTCAAAACCAATGAAAGCAGATATATTTGAGAATCTACGCAACATACTGGAAGTTAGGGACATGGATAAAATTGATACAGTTGCAAAGTGAACTAAAGTCTTGCCAGACTTCACCCATGGGGAGGCTGTTGCCAGAAGAAATCAAACTCGAGTAATTTTTTATCAGTTTGTGTCCGTGTTCGTCAGGTCTGTAACCCGGTATCATTTTGGTCTATCCGCTGGTTGGTACTCAAAGTTTTGAGTGACATGTTAGTTGTTTGTAGCATTTAGACTTAAACCTTGGTTGTCAAGCCTAGGAGTCGGTTCGAGTCAGCCAAGGTTGTTAGAGTTAATAGCTTCAATACAGAAACATGTGTGTGTTGTAGATAAGATGAGTCAAGGGTTTTATCTTGTACTTAAAACTCATTTTCATAATCAATAAACTTGTCGATCTACCCCAATGTTAAGCACAATGTTGAGGATGAATAATAATAATATTAAAAGCAAACACTAAATAATATTAATGTAGGAGTTTACTTTTAAAAAAAAACTTAGGTATAATCTGTACTTTAAAATCAAATCGCAAAATCGCACGATTTTAAGGTCCACATAAAAGCAAACACTAAATAATATTAATAAGACACATCATGAACACAAAGACACATAACACTTTTTTTTTTTTTTTGGATAAGGGTGATATAGGTTCATTTTTGAAGTTTAGGTACTACTTAAGGGAATCGAAGCTGAGACCTAAATATAACACACAACACTTAAAATGATGATTTCTCAAGGTCAATTTGGGAGGTGGTGATCGGTGATGATCAATGAGTTGACATGAATTGATGATGGTCGGTTGTGGTTAGTGAGAGAGAATTAGATGATTTTGATGGAGGAGAAGCACAAAGGGCTTTATGTTTTGCTAGTTTGATGGAAATATATACTACAAAAAAGCTGGTTTTTAGCGACGAAATATTTTGCGACGGATGTTATTTCGTTGCAAAAACTTGACTTATGGCGACGAATTTCAGAATTTCGTCGCAGAATGTCTTAAAATCCATCGTGTTGTGGGTTAATGAATTC